CCATGCAATATTGCCCCATATATGCTGACAGAGCAGAGCAGCGCTGCAGCTGGGATGGATCCAAAATATATTGTCCAGATCCACCCCACCACCTGATTGACAGCTGACTCTACCTCTCTAGAGGTTGTGTCCGCCCCATCCATTCCTCCAGTCAGCGTTGGAGGGTCAGAGAGGGGAGGGGGGTATTCCTGCGAGGAGCCGTGACTGACAGTCAGCGCTCTGTGCAGAGAGAGTGAGTGCGGGAACTGCGTGATCAGCGCTATTTCACTCTCCCCATAATTCTACTTTCATGGTAAATGCGGATCATTCGCCACCTACCACTTCCACTGCATAGAATAGCAACACTAATAATAATGACACCTGAGCATGTCCCCTGGTGTCATTATTATTATTGTGTGTGTCCCCCCGTGTCATTATTATTATATCGATGCTGATTGGCCCGGGAAGCCGACTTCCCAGCCAATCGGCATCGAGGCTGGCCAAACAGATCTGACAATATCGTGACACGACCCCCACTCTACAGGCATCTCATTCGCCTCACATAGATCCTCAGTAGTAGTCATTACCATACCAGTCCCTCGGCCAGCTGGGCAGACACCGCTCTCCGGGACCTGCCCACATCTCCTGTGTGTACAGCGCCAGCGTGATCGGCCCTCAGCCTGCTACTGCGGACACACAGACTGCCCAGCGCTCTCAATCAGAAATCCTGTGCATGCGCAGCAGCAGGCTGAGGGCCGATCACGCGGGCGCTGTACACACAGGAGATGTGGGCAGATCCGGGAGAGCTTGGAGAGCGGTATCTGGCCGAGGGACTGGCACGGTAATGACTACTACTGAGGATCTATGTGAGGGGAATGAGGTGTCTGCAGGGTGGGGGTCATGTCGCCATATCAGATTTGTTTGCCCGGCTCGACACTGATTGGCTGGGGACATAATAATAATATGACACTGGGGGGACATAATAATAATAATGACGACACTGGGGGGATAATAATGACACTGGGGGGACATAACGTATCATCCTCCTCTGCTGAGTGGGAGGTGACATCCCGGGCTTCAGAGATCTTTGTTGCACATATGGACAGGAGGATGCTGCCCTCTAGCGTCAGAAAGGGGAAGTGCAGACTAGACGGCTGGTCCAGAAAAGTTTCACTGGCGCTAGTTTATGGGGTACTGGGCCCGGGGCACGTGCCCCTTTTGCCCCACCTTAAAGACAGCCCTGCTGTCACTGAAACCCCCTGTCCTTGAGCCTAGTCACAGTATTAAAGTCTCCTCCAAAGACACTACAGGCCGGGAGGTAAAAAGAAATGGCTTGATCTTTGTAAAAAAGACATTTCCTGTCCCACTTAGTCTTTGGTCCATATACATTAATGAGGCGCAGGTCCTGCCCTCCCATGCATCTCCCACCACTGCAATCTCCACTTCAATAACCCACCGGACAGTTACCATACCAGTTCTAAACAACAACGCCACTCTGCTGTAAGGCTCGGCCGCAAGAGACCGGTATGAGGGACCGTACCTCCAGCAAAACGTTTCCCGCACACTCACCAGCCGGCATGCAAAAAACTTGTCTCACCGCTGAGGCTAAACACAGAGGTTTAGGATGGCTCTTTGTGTCCTGCTCTTAAATTTACGTCTAGAAACCAACATTTCAATGCTAAACGTCTTTCCTCCCCCTCTGTTCTCTGTGACTGCCACTCACATCTCTCCCTCTCAGGAAGAACTACCTGCAATTCTGAAGCACCGGAAACAACTACAGAAACTGCTGACAGACTGGAACAATGCAAAAACTCGGCAAGTATACAAGACAACACGCATGTGTACACGGGAAGTCCTCCTGCTGCTGCGAGGACTATGTTTGTGTACAGGACCTGCGTTATTCTATACAGTCATGTGATCTAGGCCAACCAATAGATAGCACCTTGTACCTCGCCTCACACTGCACACGCCACACGCTGACTAACATGTTATGACCACTTTGTGCTTCTCCCTGGCAGGCTTTCTCAGGTCCAGAAGAACATAGCTGTGGCCCCAGGAGGAAGTAGTGCCGGGACCCCAGCTAAACTGGAGAGCCTGAAGGAGGAAGCAGAGGAACTGCGCAGGAGAGTGGAGCAGAGCAAGGTGCGTTAGTAGAAGGGAATCTGTAAAAAAAGAAATTGTTGGGAAATGTTTCACAATATATATCAAATGTAAATTTGTAAGAGACCTAAAGAGAACCCGTCACCCACTTTCTCACCGGCATGAAACCCTAGGACCACTATGCATTGCTGCAGCTACGCAGCCCCTCAGCAGGGGTGCCGAGCAATTCACAAGCAGATGCGTTTTCTATCACAAACTCCTATAAACAATTCTAATCGAGTTCTTTGTTAACAAGCATTACATTGTCCCTGAGTAAAGCTGGGATAAGTACTTGATTATTGTCTGCATGTTAGCTTTCTTATATTCCATGCACAGCAGGACTGGAAATATGAAGGTCAATATTCTGAGCCAGTAAGGTTTTATTGCTTTAAAAGCTGCTGTGCGACTAACACTGCCAACATGCTTAAAGGCAGGGAGGGCACAGAGATGATCTAATCAATGTGCTGCTCTATCACAGTCCCATCACAATGTTGCGGCCAAAATGTGACACCACTGTACTCCTTAAGTGTATCGGAAAAAATGGCGTTGCCATGCCTGTCATGCAGGGATATGTGAATCACAAGACTGGCTGAACAGAACGATAACTATTTAGGCAGGTAAAGCACTTCTCATACTGTATATGAACTACACATGTGTATGTACAGTAGTTGCTTGGCTGAGATTCCGCTTTAAATCCGGCAACATTATTCCGCATTGGTTCATAGGGGCAATCAGTTGTAGATTATAATTTGGTACTTTTGATATTCTCAGTGTTGTGAAGCATTTTGTAAAACGTTTTTAAGGTACTAAATAAATGTATTCCAATGTTTGTGGGTATTATTCTTATTATCCTTACTAGCAGCATTTCTCTCACTCGATTTGTATAATAATTTGCTACTTCTGATGCAGGACGACTATTTATCTGACTTGTATCACTTCGGGACAAAGGAAGATGAATACAAAAACTACTTCATAAGGGTGAGTAACAAAATCTACTATTTATATTACTGTAATGGTAGGTGACGGGAAGGGTCACGGCAGGTGACGGGAAGGGTCACGGCAGGGGACGGGAAGGGTCACGGCAGGGGACGGGAAGGGTCACGGCAGGGGACGGGAAGGGTCACGGCAGGGGACGGGAAGGGTCACGGCAGGGGACGGGAAGGGTCACGGCAGGGGACGGGAAGGGTCACGGCAGGGGACGGGAAGGGTCACGGCAGGGGACGGGAAGGGTCACGGCAGGGGACGGGAAGGGTCACGGCAGGGGACGGGAAGGGTCACGGCAGGGGACGGGAAGGGTCACGGCAGGGGACGGGAAGGGTCACGGCAGGGGACGGGAAGGGTCACGGCAGGGGACGGGAAGGGTCACGGCAGGGGACGGGAAGGGTCACGGCAGGGGACGGGAAGGGTCACGGCAGGGGACGGGAAGGGTCACGGCAGGGGACGGGAAGGGTCACGGCAGGGGACGGGAAGGGTCACGGCAGGGGACGGGAAGGGTCACGGCAGGGGACGGGAAGGGTCACGGCAGGGGACGGGAAGGGTCACGGCAGGGGACGGGAAGGGTCACGGCAGGGGACGGGAAGGGTCACGGCAGGGGACGGGAAGGGTCACGGCAGGGGACGGGAAGGGTCACGGCAGGGGACGGGAAGGGTCACGGCAGGGGACGGGAAGGGTCACGGCAGGGGACGGGAAGGGTCACGGCAGGGGACGGGAAGGGTCACGGCAGGGGACGGGAAGGGTCACGGCAGGGGACGGGAAGGGTCACGGCAGGGGACGGGAAGGGTCACGGCAGGGGACGGGAAGGGTCACGGCAGGGGACGGGAAGGGTCACGGCAGGGGACGGGAAGGGTCACGGCAGGGGACGGGAAGGGTCACGGCAGGGGACGGGAAGGGTCACGGCAGGGGACGGGAAGGGTCACGGCAGGGGACGGGAAGGGTCACGGCAGGGGACGGGAAGGGTCACGGCAGGGGACGGGAAGGGTCACGGCAGGTGACGGGAAGGATCACGGCAGGTGACAATGTGTTCATATAGTTGGGGACTACTTTGTAACCACCAACTGTTGAAACAATAAACACTTTATTCAGAAGTATTAAACGGTACAGTTTACAGAATAGAGCTAACATGAAACATAGTGTATAGAGTGCAGTGGTCAGGAGAAGGGAACCTGTTGCACAGAAAGAGGGGGTTATGGGTACATACTGCAGGAGTCAGGGCCATGTAACATACTTCCCAGCCTACAGGGTGCAACAGCCATCCTAAAATTGTTACGTCATAAAACCTCTGAGCTGAGCCCTGAATAGTTTAGCAGAACAGCGTAACAGCGATACACATCCTTTCTAAAAATATACATTCCATTGTAACCTGGCAAGGACCAAATCTATAAATGTTTCATATTTTCTGCTTTGATAAAGATACATTAATAATGAGCGTTTACACAAATGTATAAGGGAATTCCAATCAGTTTGATGCCAGGCGCGCCGAGGTTATTATGTGCAGGGGCCAAATGATCACATTAAATAGATTTGTACATCTGATGTATATCATTTTTCGCCTCTTTCAAAAGATAATTTCCGTCTATTCAGTAATAAGGGGGTTTTAAGGTGTAAAAAAGGGTCATCTGGACATATTGATACTTAAAAATGAACTGACATGTAGAGAGTATCAGTTTACCATCAGAAACACTTTGACAATTCCTCAGCACACCCTGACCCTCCGATTGGCTATAGCATTTGTATGAACACCTTCCTCAGGGACCAGAAAAAATGTCGTCATTCTTCCATCAAAACTATCCGCAAATCTGAGTCCTGGACTCTGCGGGACTGGGCCAGGAGAACTTCTTCACTATTTTCATTTTGAATCCCACTTATTTTGTTGTTACCTTTTTGTCTATTTTGTTATATTTTTCTTGCACTGTTTTTCTTTTTCTTGCATTTAAAAATCACTACGCATTATCTCTAAAGTTTTAAATATGAACTTAAAGAATCCTAAACCTTTGAAGAATGCTGCCATATAATAAACTCTGCTAGATTCCTGCCTGGAGTGACAGCGGGTGTCACTGTGTATGGTGCATGTCTCTATTGAAGCAGGTAGTGGCAGCCATTGTTTGTGTTGTAAAGGGTTAACTGTGGAGTTAGCTGACTTCAGTGATGATCCCTCTGATGGCACTTAGATTGTTGCCCTCCAAGCTGAGCTCCAGAGGGCATTGGAAGAGAGACTGGATCAAGGAAAGGGGGAGGGGTATACATCAGTTCTGATAGGGTTAATTTCTGTGTCTGTCCTGCAATCTCTACTTTGTGCTGGGGGTCCACCCTTCGAATATTCGGGAATAAAGAGCCGTGGATCAATATTCAAAGGTTTATTCCAAACATTCAACTGTCACAGTTTCATTGGGTCTATTGATTGGGAAGTGAGTGAACACATACCATCGCTCGCTCACTTCTCCATCATCTCCCTGCAGAGAGCCGTGACTGTAAGTTAAAACTTTCAAGTCCATTTCCACCTTTTGTAAGTGATTAGCATTCATTGTGGTAATGAAGAGGTGCCGTGATGATGTATACATGGCCACATTTTCATGACTCACATTTTAGGCTTTCCTCATTTTTTTTTATGAACTTTTATTGGGCCTGAAGCCTAAAAATCCAACATTTTGTCCACAGGAAATTCAGTCAGACACCAGAGCCGGATTCCAATCAGGCTGTAAACCGTTCTCCCTTTTATTCAGTGTAACATGATCAGTAAACACCAGCTCTGCCTTTGCACACAATAAACTGTCTGGGGGGGAAGGAGGGGTGCCACTATGAATACTAATGAATGGGAGAGCCGAAACAGAGCTTGTAAAACACATTTCCATGAGGATATGAAGAGGAAAGCTAACAAAGAAGTATGTTTCTGTTTTCATATAGATTAACTGCATTAATGGACCGAGTGCCTGACTTTTCAGAGGGGGTGACACCAAAATGACAGTCATTTTGGTGTCACCCCCTCCAATGGTGTCACCTGGGGCGGGCCGCGCCCCCCGCACCTCCCTAGTAGCGCCACTGATAGTTACATAGGTTGAAAAAAGATACAAGTCCATCGAGTTCAACCTATAGAGTTACAGGTGTTCCACCATTGTATCCAGTATGCGGGCGGCCGGTTTGGAGTACAATAACACCCAGCAGTAGACCCGGTGACTGCAGAGAGTACTGTGCCTACTGTCACCGAGTGTCCTTATTACTGAGCCATTGCTTCTAGGAGCTCCTCCCACATCATGACTCAATATGTCTAACATAGTTCTATGCTGAATGCACATTGTTTGTGTCTCTGACCCCATTTTATTGTGTACTCGGCATTTCTTCGGTAAACTCCAAGTTACTATTCCCTTCATGTCTGATCATTCAGCTGATTTGTCGTCTTCTCATGAGAAGGTAGTCATGGCGTCAGAAAGGCTTTCCCTCATTTTATGAGGCGTTTCCTTCTTTTCAACCAGCTGAGGGTTCTTCAGATAGCGGCCCTTTATTTGGGGAATTCGATGTGTCTTCTTCTTCTTCTATGTGACTATTATTATTGTCGTTCCTCTGTATTAGGAGTTCGGATCGTCTTGTATATCAAACTTGTATAACTCTGTCTTCCTCCCCAGCTTCTGCAGCTTCAGGCGGATTATCACAGGAAGTCTCTGGCGCAGCTGACCGATGTGTTGGGGGAGCTGAGAGACACCATAAAGGACAACGGTGAATACTTATCTCTCATCCTGTCTGTATTTTATTAAAATGCCTGATATAGAGAGTGCTGACAGCAGAGAAATAATGTGAAAGATGAGCGGCACTGATAGGGTGACGGACTGCCACAAATAAAAAACATAAAGCCAATTTTTATCTTGACTTGAATAGAGTCTAAATAATATATGGTCTCCTCATCTAGGTGCCATCTAACTGGTCATCACTGGCCATCTAACTGGCCATCTAACTGGTCATCACTGGCCATCTAACTGGCCATCTAACTGGTCATCACAGCTCAAACCTCATGTGCGATGAAGAGAGTGCCTTACAGAGTTCCGCTAATGAGATTCCTAAATACATCTTCACATCATTACTATCGTCTTTCTTTTCTTCTCCAGCTCCCGCACAGCTGCCTCCCGCCGAGGTATACGGAGTACCGCTGGCAACACACCTAGACAGATTTGAGTGTGAAATTGCTGTGCCCATATCAGCCTGTGTGAGGATGCTGCTGAGCCATGGGATGAAGGAGGAGGTGGGTATGAGGGGTACACAACGGTCACCTCTGATGGGATTTTTCCGGGTTAGAGACAATTGTATATTTTATTATTAGTGTAGAAATACTACAAATCCTGGAATTGATAAGAAATGAATGTTCGGGTTATTTGCCATTATTTCCCCATGTGATTGCTCATTTCTGACCATTCCTCTAACTCGAGTCTATTAGATTCCATTGGAACTCACCAATGATGCTCACATAACCTTTAACCTTCTACTTAGTAGCCATGGATTGGGTTCCATGCTGAACAGTAAATAACGTGAATCAATAACATGTTATCTTCATGTTCCCCAATAGTAATGATATTTGAAAGAAGCTTAGATAGGAAATAGATAATCCGGAGCTTCCAATGCAGAATATTTCAGGAGAGGAGGAGATGTCCTTCCATATTATTGCTCATCCTCGGGATCATCACAAATGGATCTTCAATTGCAGGAGATTCTGAAACTGACACACATCCCAGTCATTGGTATTAATGGTTTGGTCTTTATCATTCTGGACGGGTCAGTAATTGGTGCTTTTATTTTAGGGTCTCTTTCGTCTGGCTGCAGGTGCATCAATCCTGAAAAAACTGAAGTCCAGTCTGGGTGCCGGTGCCAGGGACTTGGAGGAGTTCCTGTCTGAGCCCCATGCTGTGGCCGGTATGTATCTTCATAAATCGGAGCTTGGCTTCTTTCTGCCTCTTTCATCCTCTATCCAGGTAACATATTAAATATCTTCTAGGTGCCCTCAAGTCTTATCTCCGGGAACTTCCAGAACCACTTATGACCTCTGAACTCTTTGATGATTGGATGAAAGCTGCCAGGTAAAGGTGACCCCAAAGCTCAGACTGGACACATTCTTGCCCGGTCCACCTTCTCATGCCATCTCTGCTTCCTTTTCCAGCATCAAAGAACTAGAAAAACGCCAGGAGAGTTATAGAGAGGTTTGTGCCCAGCTGCCCCCCGAAAACTACAACAACCTCAGGTACATCGTGCCCAAATTCTGAAGGCCCAGTTCTTCAGACCACCTTCTTTGGACAAATGCTATCTGGAGGATGCCAATTTATTCACCTGTGCCATTTAAATGCTCTACCTGTGTATATACGTTGCATGACAGGAGCTGACCCGCACCTGTCTGTGTTTCCTCTGTGTTGCCCACCTGTCCATGCTCCACTAAGGATTACATACAATGGTGTATTTTGGTTTTGTGCTGCCCTAGGCAAGAGTAAACTCAGCCACGCCCCTATCTCAATTTCCCCACGCCTTCCTGTCAGTCACTGTATACAATGCGTGTCCTATAATATATATGAATAATATAAAGTCTCCAGAGTCTAAGATGGCTGTGAGAGGCCCTCAGGTGGCTGTGCAGTGCTCTCAGGTGGTTGTGCGGGGTCTCTAGTGGGCTGTGCGTTTTTTGCTGCCCCCTGGAAAGTGCTGCCCAAGGCATATGCCTTGTTTGCCTTGCATATGCACCCCTGATTATCGCTTCTCTGCCTTTTGGCTAAGATCAAGTGTAGTATCTGTTCTTATCAGTTGTCGGGAACTGAAAGTCCGCTGTCGCCTATGAAGGGTGGATGGACGGACCGGTAGGTTCCTGGCGTAATTGGTAGGGAGCCGGATGAGGTTCCAGGCCCCGGAGTTTTCGACCCTAGTTAATGGGTGGGCTCCACGGGGAGGGATCTCTGAAGGTGAACTATCTCCTGATGGGAATGGATCCGAAACTTGATCAAGGCTAGAGGGTTCGGGGGCGGCAGAAGCCCGTGGTGTTGTGCCCCCTGGGGGTGGCGTCCCAGGGGTGCTCAGGAAGTCACTTGGGTATGGGACCCCACTTTGACTCACTGATCACTCGGTCACACACCACATTGCTTATTTCTGATATCAAACTTGTATAACTCTGTCTTCCTCCCCAGCTTCTGCAGCTTCAGGCGGATTATCACAGGAAGTCTCTGGCGCAGCTGACCGATGTGTTGGGGGAGCTGAGAGACACCATAAAGGACAACGGTGAATACTTATCTCTCATCCTGTCTGTATTTTATTAAAATGCCTGATATAGAGAGTGCTGACAGCAGAGAAATAATGTGAAAGATGAGCGGCACTGATAGGGTGACGGACTGCCACAAATAAAAAACATAAAGCCAATTTTTATCTTGACTTGAATAGAGTCTAAATAATATATGGTCTCCTCATCTAGGTGCCATCTAACTGGTCATCACTGGCCATCTAACTGGCCATCTAACTGGTCATCACTGGCCATCTAACTGGCCATCTAACTGGTCATCACAGCTCAAACCTCATGTGCGATGAAGAGAGTGCCTTACAGAGTTCCGCTAATGAGATTCCTAAATACATCTTCACATCATTACTATCGTCTTTCTTTTCTTCTCCAGCTCCCGCACAGCTGCCTCCCGCCGAGGTATACGGAGTACCGCTGGCAACACACCTAGACAGATTTGAGTGTGAAATTGCTGTGCCCATATCAGCCTGTGTGAGGATGCTGCTGAGCCATGGGATGAAGGAGGAGGTGGGTATGAGGGGTACACAACGGTCACCTCTGATGGGATTTTTCCGGGTTAGAGACAATTGTATATTTTATTATTAGTGTAGAAATACTACAAATCCTGGAATTGATAAGAAATGAATGTTCGGGTTATTTGCCATTATTTCCCCATGTGATTGCTCATTTCTGACCATTCCTCTAACTCGAGTCTATTAGATTCCATTGGAACTCACCAATGATGCTCACATAACCTTTAACCTTCTACTTAGTAGCCATGGATTGGGTTCCATGCTGAACAGTAAATAACGTGAATCAATAACATGTTATCTTCATGTTCCCCAATAGTAATGATATTTGAAAGAAGCTTAGATAGGAAATAGATAATCCGGAGCTTCCAATGCAGAATATTTCAGGAGAGGAGGAGATGTCCTTCCATATTATTGCTCATCCTCGGGATCATCACAAATGGATCTTCAATTGCAGGAGATTCTGAAACTGACACACATCCCAGTCATTGGTATTAATGGTTTGGTCTTTATCATTCTGGACGGGTCAGTAATTGGTGCTTTTATTTTAGGGTCTCTTTCGTCTGGCTGCAGGTGCATCAATCCTGAAAAAACTGAAGTCCAGTCTGGGTGCCGGTGCCAGGGACTTGGAGGAGTTCCTGTCTGAGCCCCATGCTGTGGCCGGTATGTATCTTCATAAATCGGAGCTTGGCTTCTTTCTGCCTCTTTCATCCTCTATCCAGGTAACATATTAAATATCTTCTAGGTGCCCTCAAGTCTTATCTCCGGGAACTTCCAGAACCACTTATGACCTCTGAACTCTTTGATGATTGGATGAAAGCTGCCAGGTAAAGGTGACCCCAAAGCTCAGACTGGACACATTCTTGCCCGGTCCACCTTCTCATGCCATCTCTGCTTCCTTTTCCAGCATCAAAGAACTAGAAAAACGCCAGGAGAGTTATAGAGAGGTTTGTGCCCAGCTGCCCCCCGAAAACTACAACAACCTCAGGTACATCGTGCCCAAATTCTGAAGGCCCAGTTCTTCAGACCACCTTCTTTGGACAAATGCTATCTGGAGGATGCCAATTTATTCACCTGTGCCATTTAAATGCTCTACCTGTGTATATACGTTGCATGACAGGAGCTGACCCGCACCTGTCTGTGTTTCCTCTGTGTTGCCCACCTGTCCATGCTCCACTAAGGATTACATACAATGGTGTATTTTGGTTTTGTGCTGCCCTAGGCAAGAGTAAACTCAGCCACGCCCCTATCTCAATTTCCCCACGCCTTCCTGTCAGTCACTGTATACAATGCGTGTCCTATAATATATATGAATAATATAAAGTCTCCAGAGTCTAAGATGGCTGTGAGAGGCCCTCAGGTGGCTGTGCAGTGCTCTCAGGTGGTTGTGCGGGGTCTCTAGTGGGCTGTGCGTTTTTTGCTGCCCCCTGGAAAGTGCTGCCCAAGGCATATGCCTTGTTTGCCTTGCATATGCACCCCTGATTATCGCTTCTCTGCCTTTTGGCTAAGATCAAGTGTAGTATCTGTTCTTATCAGTTGTCGGGAACTGAAAGTCCGAAAAAATGCACCCCTGATTACATACCTACCTGTGTTCCCTTATGTGTCACACACCTGTCTGTGTTCTCTATGTGTCATACACCTGTCCGTGTTCTCTGCGTGTTACAAACCTGTCCGTGTTCTCTGCGTGTTACACACCTGTCCGTGTTCTCTGCGTGTTACACACCTGTCCGTGTTCTCTGCGTGTTACACACCTGTCCGTGTTCTCTGCGTGTTACACACCTGTCCGTGTTCTCTGCGTGTTACACACCTGTCTGTGTTCTCTATGTGTCACACACCTGTCCACTTTACCTGTATGACTTTATATACAGGTATGATTAAGTTTGGACAGCGGGTTGCTGTGGTTAGAATCTCAGGTGTATGTGGACATGTGGGGTTGGGAAGCATGTACAATGCAATGACCGGAGCCCCTGCTGTTCCGATGTGGTGTCCTGCAGCCAGGGACAGATGACCGTTCTGCATCAATGATATGTCACATGTGCGCCGCAGAGCTGTCATGTAATGCCTATAAATCCTAGATGTGATTTTCTGGCCGTGACTCTCACTGACTGCTCAGTATTGGGGTTTGTCTTCTGGGAGCGCAGAGATCGGGTCTTAAGTGATTCGGTTTTTATTGCAGGTATTTAATCAAGTTTTTTGCAAAGTTGGCAGAACACCAAGAAGTGAACAAAATGACACCAAGTAATATTGCGATAGTGCTGGGCCCCAACCTCCTGTGGGCCCGAAGTGACGGGTAAGTCCATTCACACTACGAGGTCCAGTCCTCTATGTGGTCCAGTCCTCTATGTGGTCCAGTCCTCTATGTGGTCCAGTCCTCTATGTGGTCCAGTCCTCTATGTGGTCCAGTCCTCTATGTGGTCCAGTCCTCTATGTGGTCCA